TTTATCCAGTTTTTTCTGTCATACCCCAATCCTGATGTCAGACCCATTCTACAACAGCGGCATCATGCAGTATTTGTCCCTTTGTGACTGAGATAGTTCACTCAGCATAATGTCCTCTAGGATCACCCATTTTGAATAATATGACATGAGTTCCTTGTCTTTTAAAAAAATATTTTTCTCTCTATCAGCATTCTGCTGTTATTCATAGTATATATTTAGCCAGTAGAGAAGGTCCTCAAGTTGGAAGGTAACAACATATGACTGAAAACATGGCTGAAGAAAAGCTGTCACATCAAAGTTGAGTCTACCTCAATGACCTGGATGCTAAAGTTTTCACCTAATGAAAAATTTTCATTTGCTGATTGATGTGGCATGACTCAGAATTAGGAGAAACAGCTGCAAACATTCATTTTGTAAACTGTAACATGAAATGTACAAAGTATGCATCTAGGAAAATTGGTAGTTGTAAAAAAAACCCAGCAAAAATATTTATATTCTGGACATTAGTTAACTGATATGGACTCATATTGGCTATTTCTAATTTAATAATATTAAGGTTGACTAAGCTGATGATGAAAAACTGAAAAGGAATATTTATCTTCAAAAGGAAAATGTCATATTTGTCTTCAAAAGGAAAATTTCAAGATCTATCCTCAAGTACAATCTGTAGTGACAGAATAATATCCAAATACATATAAGGCCTTTTATATATCTATTAAATTTCCCTAACAACTACTAAGATAGGGACGTCATGCTTAGGAAGGTGGAAGGACAGCATAAGAGAGGAAGACCCTCAAAGAGATTAATTGATTCAGTGACCAGGGTAATGTGGGTAGGTGTGTCGGAGACAATAAGATTGGCACAGGATAGAGGAAGGTATAGGGCTGTTGGACAAAGGATTGTTATGAGTTGCAGGCAACTCAACAGCACATAACAACAACAACAACTACTACTACTACTATTAAACTCAAAGATGAAAAAGTTTATAATTTCTACAAATATTTACAGTGTGAAGTTGATCAAACATGCAATCAAAATGCATTGAAAATGATAATTGGTAATTATAATGCAAAAGAAAATAAAGGCAAAGGATGCATAGTTGGAAAATATGGCATTGGTGACAGAAATGAAGGCAAAGACTGTATGACAAAATGTTGTACTACCAACAACTTATTCATCACAAGCACCTTTTAGAAGAAATTGAAACAGTTGGTCTGGTGTTAAGAATCTCCACAGCAATCCCAAAAGTGTGTGGTGCAAACCCCCTAGCTGCTCTGTGGGAGATGGATGGACAATCTTCTCCCATGTGATTTACTGCCTCTGTAAAGCCCCATGATGTCAGCTATGGGTCAGTTTCAACTTAACAGCACACAGCAATAAACAGCATTATACATAGGCTTCATCAGAAGGAATATGTGGAAAACAAATCAACTACATCTGTAGAAAGAGGTAGTAGAGAACCTCAACACCATCAGTCAGTACTGAATATGGAACAGACCGTCAGATGTTCATATGCAAGTTCAAATTGAAACTGAAGGAAATTAATGCAAGGCCAGGAGAGCCAAAATACAATCTTGAATTTTGCCCTTCTGAATTTAGAATCAATCTCAATAATAGATTTGATGCACTGAGCACTCACAAATGAGGTCAGATAAGTTGTGGAATGAAATTAAGAACATTATACATGGAGAAAGCAAAAGACATTAAAAATAACTGGAAATAAAGAGAAGAAAAAAATGTTGTCAGATAAGACTCTGAAACTTGCTTTAGAACATAGAGAAGCTTAAAGAAAAAGGAAGAAATGATGAAGTAAGAGACCTTAATAGAAGATTTCAAAGGGTAGTTTGAGAATACAAAACAAAGTATTACAGTGAAATATGAGAAAAAATTGAAGTTAGAAAGACAATAGCACAGAACATGCTTAACATTTTTCAAGCTGAAAGAACTGAAGAAGAAATAATAAGCCTTGAGTTGCACCATTGAAGGACTATACAGACAAAATTTTGAATGGTGCAGGCAAGACCAAAAGAAGATGGGAGGAATGTGTAGTCAATCTACCAGAAAGAATTGGTCAATGTACAATCATTCCAAGAAGTAATAAATAACAGAGAACCAATGATATTGAAGAAGGAAGTCCAAACTGCACTGTAAACATCAGCAAAAAAAAAAAATAAGTTTACAGGTATTAACAGAATACCAATGTAGGTGTTTCAGTAACAGATGTAACCTTGGATGTGTTCATTTGCCCATGTGAAAAAATTTGGAAGATAGATAGCTGGTCAACTGACTGGAAGAGGTTCATATTTGTGATCATTTCAAAAACAGATGATACAGCAAGATGCCAATATTGTCAAACAATTTCACTTTGAGCTGTGGTACTGGAGTATTGACTTATACCATGGACTGCCAAGAGAACAAACAGGTTCATCCTAAAGAGGGTGAGACCAGGCTGCTCCACGGAGGCAAGGATTCTGAGACTTCATCTGACTTACTTTGTGCATGTTGCAAGGAGAGACCAGTCCTTGGAGAGAGAATCATGTTCAGTAGGGTGGACATAGGGAGACCATTGATGAAGTGGGTTGATACAGTGGCTGGGGTAATAGGGGTAGGTGTGTCAGAGACAGTAAAGTTGGCACAGCACAGAGCAGGATTCAGGGCTATTGTACATAGGGTCGCTATGAGTCACAGGTGACTAGACAACATATAAAAGCAACAAACAATCATTAGTACCACACATTATTAAAATCTTGTTGAAGATTTTTCAGAAACAGGTAGTGCAGTACATAGAATTGTCAGGAATTCAAGACGGATTCAGAAGAGGCTACAGAATGAAGGGTATCATTGCTGATGTCATATGGATCATAACTAAAAGCAGAGAATATTAGAAAGACAACTAGTGTTTTATTTGCTATGTTAATGCATTTGAATATGTGGATCATAATAAATTATTAATAGTATTAATAAGAATGGAAACTCTTGATTGTTCTCATGCAGAATCTGTACATCGAAAAGTAGTTGTTTAAACAGAACAGAATACTATAAGTTTAAAATCAGGAAAAGTGGTGGTCAGTTTTATCTTTTCACCATACATATTAACTCAATAAGGGAGCTCTGGTGGCATAGTGGAAAGGAATTGTGCTGCAAATGCAAAGGTTCAATGTTTGAACCCACCAACTGCACCATGGTAGAAAATAGTGTATCTCCTCCTAATGGATTAACTGCCTCTGAAAACCCACTGGAGGGTCAAATATGGGTCAGTTCTGACTGGCTGGTACCCAACGGCAAAAACTACATTCAATCAGTATGCTGAGCAAACAGATTAAGAAGATGAGCTACAGTTTAAGAAGATAAATGCAACATCAAGATTAAGAGGAGATTCAACAACCTGCTGTATGCAGACGACACAACCTTGGGGAAAACAAAGATAACTTATTAATCATGAAGCTTAAGACTGAAAAAGAAAGTAAACCAAAATTCTCATACCTGGACCATGACAAAGTAGAAAAGACTGCATTTGTTAAAGATTTCCTTTTACTTAGATCCACAATCAACACCCTTGGAAGCTGCAGTCAAGATCAAAAGCCATTGCATTGGGTAAATCTGCAGTTAAGGATGTCTATAAAGTGCTAAAGAGCAAGGATGTCTGTCTAAAGACTAAGGTACACCTGATATTGTCAAATTATATTTTCAAATGTTTCATATGCATGTGAAATGTGGGTAATGAATAAGGAAAGCTGGAAAGAATTGGCGCCTTTAAACCGTGGTGTTGGCAAAGAATACTAAATTTCATGTGGACTGCCAAAAGACCTGTCAAATCTGTCAAAGCAGTGCAACCAGAATGCTTCTTAGCAGCAAGGAAAGTGAGATTCTGTCTCACATATTTTGGGAGAAGGACAGTATGCTTTGAAAAGTGAAAGGTTGATGAAAAAAAGGAGACCCTCAATGAAATGGAATGAACATTGGAGATTGTGAAGATGGCACAGGATGAAGCAGGGTTTCTTTATCAGGTATAGGGTCACTGTGAATTGGAGGCAACATAAGGACAGCTAGCTACAACATCTCTCCCAATTTTAATGGATTATCTTGACATTTAGTTAAGTAAGTGAAAGGATTTGTAATTCCTAATGAAAAAGATGTAAGTGCTTAAGTGCCTAAGCACTATTTGTCTTAATTCTCCCTGTTCTGCAGGTGGTACACATTATCATGAATGGTGTGGCAATTATGCATTACTTTTTTAAAAAGAGAAAGACTTTGATTCAACACAGTTGCAGAGTTCAGCCTTAGAAGCAACTATTGACAAAAATTGTCATGAAGGAAAATAGAGGATTCTTTCTAAAAAGATGTTCTTTAATATATTTAGTGTGTTCTTAGGACAACATGTTCCCAACATGAAATGGATAGCAAGTATGAATGTTGGGCATATACTTTGAAACAAGTAGACTACACCTCTGTATAGTGTGATTTTATTCAATTAGGGTAGCTCTGGTGGCCTAGGAGCTACCAACCCAAAGGGATGCAGTTTAAATCCATTAGCTACTCTGCAGGAGAAGGTTGTGCAATCTCCTCCTATGTGATTTGTTGTCGTTGTGTTATTATGTGCTGTCGAGTTATGAATGACAGATCTCAACGCTGGCCTTTCCTGTGCCTTTCTCACACTTCCTGATGTACTAGAGCCCATTGTGGCAGTCACCGCATCAATGTATCTGGTTGGATAGTATATAACAACAGTTGTACAAGGGCATGAAACAAAGGTTACCTTTAGGTCACAAGAATATCTCCCTTTGTTGCTGGGACTTGATCCTTCCTAAAATATACTGGTGGGAATTAGTCATGTTTTCTGAGGATTAGGACCAAAGATTCACTAACAATAAGAAAAGTCTCTTATTCAGCATCTAGAGAGCACAGAGCAAAATCATAGCTGAGTTTATCTATCATGTTGAAACGGAAAGCAAAAAAATATACTTTGGCTCAATCAAATATGGGAATGAAATGAAATAATAAGTCTTTCCCCTTCACCCTAGGGTATTAAAAAAGTCAGCCAGTCTCAATGTGAAAGTGAGTCATACACAATGGGCCAACCAGTCAATTCTGCTCTAACATCAACTATCAACTCTCCAAATTCAAGTAAGATGTATTTCACTTGTGAAAATATTTTTTTCTATTAACTTGTTGCCTATTTTTCATGTCATTTGATCAATATTTATAAACTTGAAAAATGAGTTACCCAGTGTTTTCAATCTTTTGGTAAAGACTGGCACACGTAAAAATGGTTTCATGACTTAAAGTCTGTTTTAATTTAATCACACAGAAAATCAATAATGAAATTCTACCTAAACTTGAATCCTTTTTTTTTAAAAAAAAAAAAATGCTCATTGTTATAAACTCATAAGAAGACATGCATGATAACAGGAGCAACAAAAAGATCTTTTACTGTAGGGGAAACAAACAAGCGATCTTTCTGTTTTTTTCTCTCCATTTTGTCTTAGGAATTGATTCTATTAAAAATATATCCCTAATTGAATCAGCTGCTGCTTTCTCTTCCACACCAACACCAAAATGCTTGCTGGAGAAAATTGATGTTATTACAGGAGAAGAAGCAGAATATAATGTGTTAAAGGTTTGTAATAAGCCATTTCTTGCACTGGTACAAGCATGTACAAACATGGAGTAAAATTACCATCAGCAGAAATACCTTTGAAATTGAAGACAGAAGTACAGTTCTCATAAAGACTTGGTTGCTTATGCAGCATTATTGGAACTTTAGAAATATTAAGCCAATATTTTGCTACATTCTTATATGCTTCTGTGTAATTATAAGGAAAAGGAGTTGTTCACAACTTTTTATTCATCTCTTATAACAGAGTGTCAAGAAGCTCATCTTAAAATAATTTCAAATCTATATTTTATACTTTCCATACCTACTCTTATTATCAATGCTATTATCACAGGATTTAAAAATTCTTATGTTGTTATTGTTATTGTTATTTTTAAATGTCATTAAGTCAAGTATGACTGATGGTGACCCAGTGAACAAAAGACCTGAAACCTGTTCTATAACAATCATCATTTCTCTATGTTCATAGAATTCCCAGAGACATGTGGTTTAGGAAGTGGATGCTACTCCTGCTTCCAAACCTGAATCAATCTGGGAGCTCCACCAAACACTGTCCACAATGGGTAAACTTTATGGTGTTTGAAACACTTATGGCGCAGCATTCAGCATCACAGCAAACCCAAGTTACTTCAGTAGAGAAAATACTGTCCTTCTCTTTTTATTTTCTAACTCTAGCTCTTTCCACATTTTCTTATAATGCTTTTGTTCTGGAATCCTATTCTTCTCAATGTTATTTATCATTTATTATGGTCCACAGAGTCAAATGCTTTTAAGTAAAACACAAGTAAATATCTTTCCAACATTCTCAATTTTCTGCCATGACTCATCTGACATCAGCAATGATTTCCCTAATTCCATAGTATCTTCTGAATCCAGCTTGAATTTCTGGCAGTTCCTTGTCTATATACTATTCCAGTTATTTTTTAATAATTTACTTCTCTACTTAGATGTGGTGCTGGAGAAGAGTGTTGAATATATCATGGACTGCTAGGAGAAAAATAGGTTTGTCCTGGAGAGGGTGAAGCTTGGAGTCAAGGATTCTGAAGCTTCGTCTGACATACTTTGGGCATGCAAGGAGGGACTGGTCCTTGGAGAGGGACATCATGTTTGGCAGAGTGGAGGGACAGCGCAGGAGAGGAAGACTCTCGATGAGAAGGATTGATTCAGTGATTGGGGTAGTGGACGTGGGTGTGTTGGAGACAGGTTGACACAGGATAGAGCAGGGTTTTAGGGCTCTTATGCATATGGTCACTATGAGTCACAAGCGACTAGACTGACTGCACCTATCAACAATTTAGGGAAAATATTATTGTTTTCTTTCACTGATAGTTCTCCATCTTATACAATTTCTGACTTTCCCAGGCATTACTCTAGTTACAACATGACCTAAAGAACAGAAAATGGTACATGGGGACAAAGGACAGTGAGCATCTCTTTGAAAGAGCAAGGGAGATTGAGAATATTATAACCTCTACATCCTCCAGAGCAGAAAGCAAATAAAGAGACCATAGCCCAGCCCCATGGTGCCTTTAGAATGAACTACACACCAGCAGCAAGACGTTTGTTTATTCATAGCTGACTCACAGACTTTACTCATAATTGTGATACCAAGAATGTGGTTTATTAGGGAAATAAGATGGAGAGTGTGGGCGGCAAAGAATATTACCCAGTGTACATCCAGGTTTAGCTCAGAAGTTCCGAAGCACAATTTTCAGTTCCTCAGTTAGTCCAGGCTTAGGAGTCAGCTTTTCCTTCTTCTCATCCAACAAAAACAGCAAAAACCTTTAACTGTGGTCTCTATCTTGGGCCTCCTTTGGTTACTCTTTGTCAGAGTTTAACCACAGCAATACCACAGTCTTTCTGCCATCATCACCATGGTCTTGCCAATAGGTTCTTGCTTTCACTAGGGTCTTGCTTCAGTCTCTCTCAAATCTTGCTGCTCAGTGTGGGAAACACACTCTCTGTTATCCTAGTCCCACAGCTGTTGATGATTTCCAAGGCCATGTGTCTGCACTTAGGTAACTGGAAACCAGAGGGGCTAAGGTAATGGCTAAAAAAGCCCACACTATAAACACTATAAACATCTTCTATTTACAGTAATTACAACAACATTTTTCCACAAGGCATTAATTTCTCTTTGTCTTTCTCCATCTGCTTCTACTCCAAGCTTTCTCTATTTCTTTTCACTTCTCCCTTAATCTGACATCTGTACTCTAAACAATTGTCTCTCAAAATATAAAAAAGTATAACTCTCAGATGAGATTAATCCTAGCCTTACTGACATAAATGACAGAGATGAGGCTCTAGGTGTTATCAAGGTGATTCACATACGTAATAAAATCTGAAAAACATGGATACATATTAAGTTATAGTAGTGCACTCAGTGTTATCATATCCTAATTCTCATACTTGAATTTTTAAAAATATGGAGAGAGTTCCATTATGCTTTTATTTTAAATAAGATTAGATATCTCAAATAACACAAAGCTTAATACATTGTATTGCTGTTGTTGGTTGAGTGGACTACAACTCATAGTAACCTTACGAATAACAGATCTGAACATTGCCATATCCTGTGGCA